GTTTTGACTAGGCTCACTCAAGCATCCGTGCACAGACCTGGTTCAGGTAAGTAGCTCTGCTGATTTTGGGTGGGCTCTCTCAAATGTTTGGGGTTAGCTAGCTATAGGATAGGGTCTTGAATGGCCTAAAAAAAAACTGCTTGATGGAGACTCATGGCAGCCCCATGTGCATCAGAGTAGAACTGTGCTCCAGTGAGCTTTCAATGACTAATTTTTTTGAAGTAGATCTCCAGGGCTTTCTTCCCAGGTAACTCTGGGTGGACATGAACCTCTGACCTTTCATACACAGCCAAACATTTAACCATTTGTAATGTACAGGGATTGCCTTGGCTAGGAGAACTGAGTTATTTTCCATGTGGTCTCACATCTTCTAGCATCTTGCCCATGGACATGTCCTGGTGAGAAAGGAGAGAGTGGAAGCATGCAAGGATTCCTGAGGCCTAGGCTGGGAACTGCCATACCACATTCCATTAGCCAAAACAGGTCAAGGCCAGCACAGATTCAAGAAGTGAGGAAACAGACTTCATCCCTTTATGGAAGGAGCTGTAACATCACTTTGCAGAGGGCATGACTAGTAACATCACTTTGCAGAGGGCATGACTAGAGGGAAGGGGTGAAAAACCAGTACTATCTCCATAATCTATTACAATCCTCTTCTATTCTACTTTGTGTCACAAGAGGCTGATCTCTATGGGTTGCATATTATCCCTAGGCTGCCTCACAGCACAGTCCTCAACTCACTGCCTTTGAGTTGGATCCAACTCATAGCGACCCCTCCTTGGGTTTCCGAGGCAGTATCATTATGGAAATAGATTGCCCAACCTTCCTTCCAAGGAATGGCTGGTGGGTTTGAACTGCCAGCCTTCTGGTTAGCAGTCAAATGCCTTAGGCACTATGCTACCAGACCTCCTCACAGCACAGTGCAGAAGGCACAATTTATATAGACTACTGTGTGAATTGTTCTACCATGACTGTGCAGGGCACAACTTGCACAACTGTATGTGACTGCCCTGAGTTAACATCTATAAAATGAGGAGTTTGATCTGAATGATCTATGTTCTTTTACAATGAGGATTCACAAATGCTTTACACTTATGACACTATTATCTCTCTTATGACCTGTCTACAGAAATGGTACAGAATACATTTTGTATGTGCGTGCATAATGTAGTACACTAGATGTGCAGCCTTTTGGTTAGTAGTCAAATGCCTTAGGCACTACACCACCAGACCTCCCCATGTGCATAATAGGTACTGGATTAACAAAAGGGTTAAATTTAAATGAATTTAAATAGATTTGTTTGAAATTTATTTCCCACACATTCCACTTAAACATTCCTACTTCTTCTCCTTGCCCTTTTCGGATAACCGTACACACAGCATCATCCTGCAAAAATCAAGTCAAGAGCTACCAATCTGGTTCATAAAACAACTTGAAAAGCTCAGAGCTAAAGTTAGAAATATAAAAACATGAACAGAGAAATTCTCCAAATCTAACTTAGTACAACTGATGAAGGAGGGGAAAAGGCAGAAGTCAAACGCAAGGAAGGACCAGTTCCAGGGATAGCCTCCAAAGCCATTTCCCTGCTGACACAGGGTGGGCTGGGGAGCTGACGAGGCTGTCCAGGCCCTCATTTTCCATCTGTGACTCCTGGCCTTTCTCATGCTTGAAACTTTATATAAGAGAAACCTGAATCCCCACCAGCCCTGCCCTCTGGCCCCTCTGAGCTAGCAGCTGCCTACACTCAGCAGCTGTGCCTGAATGGGGAACTTGCCCTTCCCCTGACGCTAAACAGAGGGCCTGGAAGCTGGCAGTTATGGGTTCCACCAACCCAGACAACAATGTTCTGTTAAGGGTGGGAAGGGAGGGAATGAAAGCCCCTTACTTTTGCGAAAATCTGCCATGATGTGAGAATAAAATAGTATTCCTCCATTTTGAGATTAAAATCTCAATTTAAAGTTTTCCCTAGTCACAGCCTGGGAAAGCTTCAGTGTCAACAGGTCAGCCCCCACCTCATGGCAACCCAATGTACAACAGGATTGTACTGTTGTGATCCAGAGAGTTTTCACTGGCTGATTTTTGGAAGTAGATTGCCAGGCCTTTCTTCCTAGTCTGCCTTAGTTGGAAAACTCTGCTGAAACCTGTTCCACATCATAGCACCAAGCAAACCTAATAGCTACTATGTATTGAGGATTTCTTTGTGTCCAGTACTGCATGAAACCCTTCAGATCTATTCATTTATCCTCATAACAACCCTATTATTCCAATAGATCATTCCTATAAGGTAAAAATCATGAATCACATTTTTAAGATGAAGAAACTGAAACTCAGAGAAGTTAGTATGTTGTCTGACGCCACATAGCAAATGGATGCAGTACTGGAAGCCAGGTCAGCCTGACTCTGGAGGACATACTCATAGCCACCATGGTTTACAGGGTATCTCCTGATAGACACTAATGGTGTTTGGAGATCACTACACCCCCCAGACCTTGATGTTGCATATGGCAGAGTTGCATGCATAGAAGAATGATTTACATTTGTTGCCTTTCCAACTACAGTGACAGACAGATCAGCAAAACTTCAGCTCATACACAATTTCAATCCAAAAGGCTAATAACATCCTCCTACAAAAAAGTCTGTCTACCACCAATCCTAAGGACTTACAGTCTCCTTTACTTGTTATATTTTACACTGATCAGATGCCTGTAAAGGCAGAAAAAAAATCATTAAATATATATACTACTTACTTTTAAATTATTATATACATATGTATGTATATATATGTGTATGTGTATGTATACACACATACACACACACACACACACGGGAGCTCTGGTAGTGTAGTGCCTAAGGCACTTGACTGCTAACCAGAAGACTGGTGGTTCAAACCCACCAGCCACTCCTCGGAAGGAAGATGGGGCAATCTACTTCCGTACTGATACTGCCTCGGAAACCCAAGGAGGGGTCACTATGAGTCAGGTCCAACTCGATGGCACATAACAACAACAACAACAAATATATATATATATATATATATATATACACACACGCGCACACACATATATAAAGGAGCTCTGGTGGCACAGTGCCTAAGCCATTTGACTGCTAACCAAAAGGTTGGTGGTTTAAGCCTACCAGCTGCTCCACACAAGGAAGGTGGGGCAATCTACTTCCGTAAAGATTTACCACCTTGGAAACCCAATGGGCGTTGCTATGAGTTTGAATAGACACAATAGCAATGAATTTGGAGTTTATATATACATAGTGAGAGAGAAAGAGAGTAAACACCCTAGTGGCACAACGCTGAAGCACTTGCCTGTTAAGGTGGGTGTTTCTAACCCACTCAGCGGCTTCACAGGAGAAAGATCTAGTGATCTGCTCATGTAAAGATTACAGTCTATGAAACACTCTTGGGGCAGTTCTACTCTGTCACATAGGGTAGCCATGAGTAGTTGTCAACTCGACAGCAACTAACAACAGCAATATATGTTATTGTTATTCGATTCATGGTGACGCCATGTGCACAGAGTAGAACTGCTCCACAGGGCTTCAAGGCTGTGATATCTCAGAAGCATATTGTCACGCTTATCTTCTGAGGTGCTTCTGGGCAGGTTCAAACAGCTAATCTTTTGCCTAGTCGTTTAGCACTTAAACATTTGTGCCACACAGGGACTTTATCTATCTATCTATCCACCTATCTAATCTGTCTGTCTATCCATCTGTCTATAGCATTGGTAGTGCAGGGGTAGAATTCTTGCCTTTCATGTGGGAGACCCATTTCTACTCCTGACCTATGCACATCATGTGCAGCCACTACTCAGTGGAAGTTTGTGTGTTTCTATGCTGCTGAACAAGTTTCACCAGAGTTTCCAAAATAAGAAGGACAAGAAAGGAAGGCCTGACAAGTTATTCCAAAAAGCAGTCAATGAAAGTCCTATGGATCACAGAAGTGTAATCTGCAACAGATTGTGGGGATGGTGTAGGACCAGGCAGTGCTTCATTCTGTTGTGAGTTGCCATGAGTCAGGGGCCAACTCAATGGCAGCTAACACTATACATATTTATATATATATGTACACACACACACACACACACGTATATATAAGGAAGTCTGGTGGTGCTGTGGTTAAGGCATTGGGCACCTAATCAAAAGGTCAGTGGTTCAAACCCACAGCCACTCCTTGGGAGAAAGACAAGGCAGTCTGTTTCTGTAAAGATTTACAGCCTTGGCTTGGTCACAGCCAGCTACCCAGAGGGACTGAGTAGTTGAACCTGTGGGCTTGGGACCATAGTTGCAGGGGACATCAAGCTCAATTGGCATAACATACTATACAAAACATTGTTCTACCTCCTACTTTGG